CTAATATACAGAAATGAGATTCATTTAGCTTTCTTTGTGAAGAGTAAATATCTCTTTTTTTTTTTAAAGTTGTGGAGAACTCGTTTTGGAATGAATGACACTTTGACAGAGCGCAGATCTGTACAGTAGCCCCCAGTGTTTGTCGTTCCACTTTTGACATCCACTCCTATCAAAGACTCTGTGTTTTGTAGACTGGATTAGTGTCTCTGTGTCCAAATAAGTATGTGATCCTGGCTGAATAAGGCCTTTCACAGCTTCAACAGCAAATACACCAGCCTTAATATGTGTTACAGACAGTGCTAGTTTAATTCTGGATTGGTATTAAGGAACAAAAAAGGGACAGTAGCTATATTTATTGTGCCTCAGCAAACACTTAGTGCATTTTGCATGAATGGAAAGCCCACTCATCCAGACGACCTAACGATCTGATGCATGAGTCTCCTAAAAATTGCATGCCTTATATAAACTGTAATTTTTACTTTATTTTTTGGTTGTTGTCGATCTCTTTCTCTGAAGTTTGAACTTATTTTTATATTGTAACAAAAGCAAGAATTAAAAAGTGTCTTTGCATAATAATACCACACAATACAACAGCAAAAAACACAGAATCGGTCTATAGTCATTCACCATCTAAACATCAGTGATTCCCTTCATTCCCGGGTCAGTATATGGATTAAATAAACTTTGTACAGCTGAAATTCTTATGCCATTGCCTCTTATATACCACAAATGTGTGTTGTGATATAAAGCCTAATATTACTTTATTTATCAAATTAAAGCCAAAGCACATTGAAATTCACCCAATGTCAAATCAATGCAGGTTTTCTATGGACACTTGTGCTTGTCCGAGGTCGTTTGTATGTATGTTTATGTATTTTAAATGAACACTAATGTGTAATTTCATACTGTGATGTTGTAGCTGGAAGAACAGGTAGTTATGTACATAAGGGGGTGGTGCCACAAGGCTCCTATATTGGTTTTTCATTATTTATTTCATATTTATTTGTATCACTGCATCTTCACTTAGAAGTGTAATGCTATGAATTTTTTCATCTTTAGCTTGTTTGTAGTAGTGGGGAGCGGGTTTTGTACATCCGAAATCGAATGTATTCTCTCGCAGGCTTCGTTTTAACATTGCGTTGATTACTGGTTGTCAATATTTGTGAAATGTTGTTAAGTATTTATTTTCTTCATCGGTTGAGTTGCGTGCAACCTAACTTATTCTGCAGCCATTACTTTTGGATTTGTACCACGTAGACTGAAACGAATGATAGATGCAACCAAACTGTACCTTTTCCCTTTAGCCTGTAGCTTAAATACGTTACCTAACTCTAGACGTGCATGTACTGTTGCTATGCATTTACTTAGCTTACAAGTTAGACAAAAGCAGTTTTGTATTTTTTATACATCATGTACTTTTTTTACTTGTCCTTAATAAAAGTAATTTTGTGAGTTTTTTCTTGAAGTATGGAGTCACTCAGTTTATTGACATCAACGATTAAAATGAATTTATAAACTTAGTCCAGCACATAATGGAGTTATAAATGATTGACTTGATGTGATTTAGTCAGACATATTTTTAATGTTTGTGTCATATATGACATTAGAGCTGCTCTGATGTAAGTAAATAGAATATAAATGAAAGATGAAGGACAGCATAGATTTATCAGTTTTACAATAAAACATGATTAGACAGTTTTCTTCACAGATTTCTTTATTTTATAGGAATAACATGTTTTTACCATAAGAAGTTAAATTTACCACTATGCAAAAGGCTCACAATAGAATTACATGATTTATATGATTGCATTAAAATAATAGATGCATACATGCAGTCATCACTTTAGTGTTACAGCTGGTAAAGTCAGAGCTAGCTTCAACTATTGAACTGCTTTGTAGCCCACAGTTAGATTATCCAGCAGCCTAAAAAAGATCAACCTTAATGAAGTATACATTTGTTATTATATTTTGTATCATTAATGTGAATCTGAAAATATAGTTGTGTTATCAGAAGTAAAGGAGCAGAAGTATAAACTAGCAGAAAAAGGAAAATAATTGATGCCTCAGAGTTGTAACACCTTTAAATGTACCGGAGCTTTTTAAATACTTTGTTCCTCATTTAATCACAACGTCAGACCTATCAGGTGAGGATGTGATGGTGATGTTCATCAAGATGAAAAAAAAACAATACAGAAGGAAAAGGTTGAGCAAACTCCTCCTGCTCTTGCCGTGATGGAAATATTTTCAATAATCCAGTTTAGCAATCACCAAGTTATGGCAAAAAGTGTGGGAAACAGGGAACACAAAGGCAGACACTTATATTCAACCATCTGTAACACATTGGGCGCCTAAAACCTACAATTCTACAATTCACTTAGCAGACGCTTTTATCCAAAGCGACGTACATCAGAGAGTAAGAACAACACAAGCAAGGATCTAGAAAAAAGGGAACAATGTGAGTAAGAGCAAACGATCAGCTTTGAGTCTGATTGGACACACAGGTGCTGACAGGAAGTGACCAGAGGCAAAGCACAACATTGAGGGCAGTTCTTGAGAGCTCTAATCAGTATAGAAACCATCTTATAAGTCGTCGTTATCAAACAAAAACCATCGTCATTACCACCATCATCATCAATAATATGGAGACCATCATCATTAAGTTAGTAGGTATTCATGAAAGAGCTGGGTCTTTAGCTTTTTCTTAAAGGTGCACAGGGACTCTGCAGATCACATGGAGTTTGGAAGTTCATTCCACCACCGGGGGGCGACAGAGGAGAAGAGTCTAGTCAACGTTTTAGGACCCTGTTGTGAAGGTTGGATCAGACGCCTTCCATTGGCAGAGCGTAGTGGGGGGGGAGTGTAGACCTGGATCAGAGAGTTAAAGTAAGGAGATGTTTCTGTGTCTGTTTTGTAAACGAGCAGCAGAGTTTTAAATCTGATGCGAGCAGTAACTGGGAGCCAGTGTAAGGAGATGAACAGAGAACAGAAAGGACCAGGTGAAGTTGCTGAGGTTGAGATTGGGACAATGTGGATTTAAGAGTGGGCTAAAAACATCCTGATGGGAAGCGTCAGTGTGGACAGATAGAGACAGTCAGTGCTCTTCTCAGAACAAAGAAAGTACAGAAGAGGATTAGGGCCACTGAAAAAACAAATTTGGTTCTGAATTTTGTTTAAAATTCTGACTTTATTCTCAGAATTCTAAGAATAAAGTCAGAAAAAAAGAAAACCAGAACCAAATTATTATTTTTCAGTGACCCTAATCCTCTTCTGTAAGAAAGGAACTGTAGCTCACCTGGCTGAAACAATCTTCAAACTCTCAACCTGCTTTCTCACTGAGTCTGAGAGAAAACTCTAATAATGCTGGAATTTCTTTATTCCACTGGACTGTACCAACGGCGTCAGACTGTAGGGGGCAGCCATACGCCGATGCTGTGTCTAGTCTGCCAATCCAAAAAGAGGAAGAAGAAGAAAGTCATGCGACCGGAAGTCAACAAAACACGGAAGTGCTTTGTTTTTGTCCTCCCTGTACTGTCAGCTGTAAGTGAAGAAATCTGCATTTCTGTGTCGGGTTAACAAAACATCCAGACGGCTACGTAATCATTTGACGTGGACACTGAGGTAGATAAGAGGATGTTTATCGCTCCTCTACTATTTATAAATATATTTACATGTTACGGCTCTGAATAAATTAATGAATCTGTAACACGCTGAAAATGATTTTTCATATTTACATTTTTTTTCTGTCATTTTGTTTCATCAGCGTGTCAAGTTAAACTAATTTAATTTAAGTATTTAAGTTAATTTAAATTTAAACAGTAAATACTGTGTGTTTTATTTTATCTACCTTTAATTAATTAATAATTAAGACACTGGCCCTTTAAGAGAGGCTCAGTGAAGGAGACACAGAGGTGTGTGTGAAGGAGACACAGGTGTGTGTGAAGGAGACACAGAGGTGTGTGTGAAGGAGACAGAGGTGTGTGTGTGAAGGAGACACAGGTGTGTGTGAAGGAGACAGGTGTGTGTGAAGGAGACACAGAGATGTATGTGAAGGAGACAGAGAGGTGTGTGTGAAGGAGACACAGAGGTGTGTGTGAAGGAGACACAGGTGTGTGTGAAGGAGACAGAGATGTGTGTGTGAAGGAGACACAGAGGTGTGTGTGAAGGAGACAGATGTGTGTGTGAAGGAGACAGAGGTGTGTGTGAAGGAGACACAGAGGTGTGTGAAGGAGACAGAGATGTGTGTGTGAAGGAGACACAGAGGTGTGTGAAGGAGACACAGAGGTGTGTGTGAAGGAGACAGAGAGGTGTGTGTGAAGGAGACAGATGTGTGTGTGAAGGAGACAGAGAGATGTGTGTGTGAAGGAGACACAGAGGTGTGTGTGAAGGAGACAGAGGTGTGTGTGAAGGAGACAGAGGTGTGTGAAGGAGACAGAGGTGTGTGTGTGAAGGAGACACAGAGGTGTGTGAAGGAGACACAGAGGTGTGTGTGTGAAGGAGACACAGATGTGTGTGTGAAGGAGACACAGAGGTGTGTGTGAAGGAGACACAGAGGTGTGTGTGAAGGAGACAGAGATGTGTGTGTGAAGGAGACAGAGATGTGTGTGTGAAGGAGACACAGAGGTGTGTGTGAAGGAGACAGAGATGTGTGTGTGAAGGAGACAGAGATGTGTGTGTGAAGGAGACACAGAGGTGTGTGTGAAGGAGACAGAGATGTGTGTGTGAAGGAGACAGAGATGTGTGTGTGAAGGAGACACAGAGGTGTGTGTGAAGGAGACAGAGATGTGTGTGTGAAGGAGACACAGAGGTGTGTGTGAAGGAGACAGATGTGTATGTGAAGGAGACAGAGGTGTGTGTGAAGGAGACACAGAGGTGTGTGTGAAGGAGACAGAGATGTGTGTGTGAAGGAGACACAGAGGTGTGTGTGAAGGAGACAGAGATGTGTGTGTGAAGGAGACACAGAGGTGTGTGAAGGAGACAGAGATGTGTGTGAAGGAGACAGAGGTGTGTGTGAAGGAGACAGATGTGTGTGTGAAGGAGACAGAGAGATGTGTGTGTGAAGGAGACACAGAGGTGTGTGTGAAGGAGACAGAGGTGTGTGTGAAGGAGACACAGGTGTGTGAAGGAGACAGAGGTGTGTGTGAAGGAGACACAGAGGTGTGTGAAGGAGACAGATGTGTGTGTGAAGGAGACAGAGAATGTGTGTGTGAAGGAGACAGAGGTGTGTGTGAAGGAGACACAGGTGTGTGTGAAGGAGACAGAGGTGTGTGTGTGAAGGAGACAGAGGTGTGTGTGAAGGAGACAGATGTGTGTGTGAAGGAGACAGAGAGATGTGTGTGTGAAGGAGACACAGGTGTGTGTGAAGGAGACAGAGGTGTGTGTGTGAAGGAGACACAGAGGTGTGTGTGAAGGAGACAGATGTGTGTGTGAAGGAGACAGAGAGATGTGTGTGTGAAGGAGACAGAGGTGTGTGAAGGAGACAGAGGTGTGTGTGTGAAGGAGACAGAGATGTGTGTGTGAAGGAGACAGAGGTGTGTGTGAAGGAGACACAGAGATGTGTGTGAAGGAGACAGAGATGTGTGTGAAGGAGACAGAGGTGTGTGAAGGAGACAGAGGTGTGTGTGTGAAGCTGTGGGGCATTTCTTTAATAAAAGTGAAGATGGACGAGTTCTGGTGCAACACATCCATCAGTTCTGTGGTGAAGCTCTCCTATTGGCTGAGGTTTAATACTGATTTTTATATTATTGTGCTCTCTAGACAACTTTTTCTTTTTAAATTAAGGACAGCTTCTACATCTTTTACATCCTGGTCCTCATCATGGTGGAGCCCACAGCATCAGGCGTGTTCTGTAACAGGATGCTGAGCATGGTCAACTCTGAAGATGTAAATGCCATCATACAGGCTCAGAGACACATGTGAGTGTTTGCTTCATTTTGTTTTCTGTAGAAAAAATGTAAACATCTGTGTCTTTTGCTGTAGGTGTTACATCTGACACAGAAAGATTATAATTGCTATATTATTATTATTATTATTATTATTATTATTATTGTTATTATTGTTATTATTATTATGCGTTACGTCAACGCCCACTGGACTTTAAAAATGTATCTTCTTTACATGCACTCTGAGTAGTTAGACACACTAAGATTGTTTCTCATATTCCACTGCACAGCTCCTACATTGCACCTTTTGTACATTTTGTGTTTTTTATGTTTTATTTTATATATATATATATATATATATTTTTTTTTTTTTTATATATTTTTTTTATATTTTACATTTTATATTTTATATTTTATATTTTATATTTTATATTTTACATTTTTAAATTCTATTTTATATATTGTAATATCTTCTTATTCTGTATTATTTAAGTTGTTGCTAGTTCTGCTTTATTTCCTTGTTAATTGTTCAGCACCAATACACCAAGTCAATTCCTTCTATGTGTAAATGTACTTGGCAATAAACCCAGATTCTGATTCTGATTCTGATTCTGATTCTGATTCTGATTCTGATTCTGATTCTGATTCTGAAAACAGGCTCGACCGCTTTGAGAAAACCAACGAAATGCTGATCAACTTCAACGGGTTGTCTAACGTGCGACTGCAGCAGATGAACGAGCGCTTCCTGCTCCACACGCGCACCCTCGTGGAGATGAAGAAAGATCTGGACAGCGTCTTCAGAAGGATAAGGTAAGTCATCACTCCCCCAAGTGCAGACAATGACAAACACTCAAACAGCATCTGAATGTTGTTTTCCCTCTGCCTCTCCAGGACTCTTAAAGGGAAGATTGCTAAGCAGTACCCAGAGGCGTTCAGCAGTGAGTTAGCGTTTTCCATCTTCCTCTCATTATTGAAGCATCAGCTAATTTCCTTTAAAATAAATGTGTCCATCCATCATATCTGTTTCCCAGCAGTCATCCACGAGTCGCCCGTCCTGGAGGATGACGACGATGAGTTCGACCCAGCTCCGCCCAGCGTTGCCACGACCATAACCATAGCCAACTCAGAGCAGAGCACAGACTCCTGTGACACCAGTCCAGATGTGATCTCGCCCACTGTGAGCAGGTGCTCCGAAGATCTCTCTCAAGAGGCGCCTGACACGCCCCCCTACGACGTCCTAGAGACAGCCGTGCTGCAGGACGAGGGTCCGGACTCTGTCCCCGCTGAATAGCATATCGTGATTGTTCAGCAGGAGGTCGTGTTGTATGTTTCAGTTTGCATCCTTCAACTAATCTGCCTGTTGGAAAGACCATCAAAAAGCTCGATGTCAGCTGTGAACTGTCTATGAGGGACGCCGGATTTTTGTCCGTTTGCTTATTTGTCATGCACAGCAGTAAATTAATGCAGATAATACTTGAAGTTGTAAAGTACCGCACTATAGGTTTTAATGTACGTCAGTGACAGTGAATTCCCTCACTCTTTGTTATTTTACACATATTTAAGGAGATCATGTTACAGACACTAAAGAGGCAAAAGAATAATATTACTGAGGGTTTCAAGATGTTACCATCATCAGAAATGTTTCCCGTGGAGCCTTTAGGTTAAAGTCTTTCTATGTGATTTATAATAGAAATCAAGTATATCCTCTGAAAATAACTCTGTGAGTCATGACTGTCTACAATGGGTGTAACACCCGAGTCCCACTGTCTGTGATGTTTTCAGAGTTTTCAGAGTCCTATCTTCACTTTGTTTACATCGCCAGGACGGCCAGCTGACTCCTCCCCTCGTGTATAAAAGTTGTTTAATTGAGGGACTAGAGAAAAGAAGAATAACATACTGTACTCACTGCTTAACTGTGTTTCTAGATCACGCTCATTTCAGGTAAATTTACATGCAGTGTGAAGATACGAGCAGAATAAAGATCGCTAGCATTAGCATGCTAACACAACAATGCAGCGCAAGTTGTTTTGGTTTCATGCTGGTGCTCAAGGGCGACACCTGCTGGATCAAAAAATCACATATAAAGCCTTTAATGCGTTTATGAATGCTATCGGTTGTATTTAGTGGAATGCATTAATGATCACTTCCAAGATAACTTTCTCTTTGCTTGCCTCACAAGGAAACCAGGGATTGGGTTAATTACCTGCACTCAGCGTCAATGGAGTTGTCTTAATATTTCACGTTATCAGCAAGTCTGGATTTTTTTTTTTAGCTCTGGAAACCAGGTTGTATAAAGTTTAGCATCCAGACTCAGTGGTTTCTGTGTAAAAGGGAAGGATCAGCCTGAAATGGACTTCATTTGTTCTTTCTGTCACATTTCAACATCTCAAGTTTCAACTGTGGATTTTTTAAAAAGATGATCTCTGGAATAAGAAGAGGGACAGAGTGTAGTGATCGATTGCTGAAGATGATCCAAATTTTTTTGTATTTCCACTGAAGTTAAATTGAATGTGAGATTGTGTCTTTGAATAGTATTTTTTGTCTCAAGAATATAAACAATGCCTTTAACATACGGCGTCATTTGATTTAAACAAAAGTGTGAATTACTAATGCTTTGTTAATACAACACACAGATACACAGACAGCTGCATTAAACACTGAAGTTCAATGAGCAGGTGTATTTATATAATAGTAGACACTGTGTTATTGTACTAGCTGAAGGCTCACTGTGTGCCACATGGTTAATAATGGTAACAGGATTATTTGTATCTTTGTATGAGCTTTAAACATGTAAACTGAGTTACAGAGGCAGTCAGTCAGTGCTGTCAAAACATGTTAGAATAGCTCAGAGGTTGACACATGACCCAGTCATAAGAAGAGCGTATCTGATTGGTTATCTGCATTGTGCTGAGATCTTATTCAGTTTTGTTTTAGTACCGCCCTCTGGATATAATAAAATAAAAGCATGTTCTTTTCTTGATGGTTTAAACGTGAGGACCATGTGATATATCTCAATACTTAATAAAGAGAACAACATGGAGATGGACACTTTGTATATGAGAGCCAGACATCTCTTTGTTTTTGCATCAGAGTCCCTGATAGGGGGATATTTCCAAGGGAAGCATTTGATAATTTATTGACAATATGCAATAAACCAAACATGGTATCACCTGATATTATTAAAAGGATACTTCACCCATCTGCATTAATCTTTGTATCATTAGAAACCTGGTAGTATTTTTGAATGCTCGTGCATCCCGCCCTCATTTTCCCCTGAGATGAGAAATCTTTGTATTCTGAGTCTGAAAAGGAGCTTCCGATGAAAAAGCTCCTTTTTTATGTGTTGCTCCTTTTCTCCATTTTCTTGTATTTCTGATTCTGATTCTGAAATAGAGGACCTTAGTGGGAGTGGCCTGTGGCGCTGTGCATTCTGGGATTTGGTGTCTTTCATCCACATGAGCCAAAAAGACACTTTCTGCCTTTTCTCGGCCAAGAATGCACCAACTTCAAAATGTATTTCACATTTCTACATATATGACCCAATGTCAATACAGATTCATGTTTCAACGGGTGAAGTATTTCTTTAATACTTCAGGTAATGAAACTACAGTCGGGCGAGTATAGGCCCCTTCATTGAGGGAGTTGTGGACCTGGGCAGGGGCTGCAATGTCTTAGTTGCCAAACACAAAGTGACTGCCCAATAATATTTAAAATAAATTCAGATAAACCTATAGGGGGGTTGGGCCATGTGGCAGCAATCTCCTAGATAGGATAGGATAATACTTTATTGATCGCCAGAGGGGAAATTCGGGCATTGCAGCAGCTCAAAATACAAAATACACATTAAACAGAATAGATAAGATAAATAAAAACAGGGGGTATATACAAGTACAAAATGAATGATGAAGTTAACTATGCATGGAATTGAGACAGTATGTGTAGAGAATGACAAGATAAAGTGACGAGTGATGATTAAAGTGACTTGGTATGATAAATAGATCCTGTTGGTAATCAAGTCTTAACCTGATCTTTGGCCAGTAGGTGGCAAATTAATTAACACCAAGTTGTTCTGATATGAGGAGTTTTTACTCCTGTTTCTATCATCTTAAATCACTAAATGCACTGTGTGTGTGTAATGTATAATAATAACTCTTTCCACAAGTGGGAGTGTACATACCTTGTATTATTGTATTTTTTCTCCCTTTATTTAACTGATGTACATATGTTTGATTTTTAACTTCTTGTTATTTTTGATAATTATATTCCTGTTTCTTGAGCTGTTGTAACATAAAAATGTCCCACATGGGGGATCAATAAAGTTTATCTTTATCTTTAACGTGGCGTGTTACTCAGTATGTACCACCAGAGGGCGCTGAGTCAGAATAGGAGCAGTGTATAAAGACAATGGTTCAGATGAAAGTGTAGATAAAAGCTGTAAAACATCACATTATCCAATCAGAGAGGGA